CCCTCAATCCCAGCCAATCGCCTGCTTCTGCTCCCCCTTAGTCTCTGAGAAATACCTCTTCTACCAGCTTCAGACTGTAAGACCTCCACATATGTTATTTTTTTTCCCACTGGGATGAATTTATTTTACCTTGAAACATTTTCCATTCCCAAATGTCTTTGTATCGACTGTAGAGGAGCAATCTGCCGTGCCAGTGCGAGTTACATTGTGCAGAACAAGGCCATTACTTGAAGTGAGAGCCAAAGCAAGGCAACCCATGCCATGATTCTCTATGCCAAACTTCAACTAGATTGAACACTTTATGGTAGACACACTGGGCAGGATTACAGGAGTCCATTGCCAATCAATAAATACCTATTATACTGTTGAGTAGTGACTTCTCGTTGTGCTACTTAACTCTCCAATGTAGCGCAATCCTCATAAGAAGGAGGAGATGGCAGGTTGAACCAAATTAAATTCAGATTTATTTATAGTGTTTAGTATTCTATTTAGGCTTCTGATAAACCTCACTACTTTTTCTTACATGCTGTGTATCTTTCTTGTATCTACCTGTATTTATTTAGTGCATTGGTTTGGTGAATTGAGCACTACTGGTTTGTAAAATACAGTCAAACCTGTCAATGGTGGGAGTAGCTTATCAGGTCCAGAAACAAACAAATACAACGCTGTTCAATATGACACTCTTTGGCTCTTATAATGAGAAGTTTAGCGTTTTCCAACACCAAATAATAGGAATTAAATAAATTATGTTAAAATGGTGTTTTAGTTGCCTTCCTAGCGAAATGGGAACTTCTCCAGGAGGACTTTGTGGCGTCAACAGAGAGGATTTGACCCAAATTGGCTTTCTAGTACACACACAAACTGTGCAGACACACTCTCAGGTGGTCAAATTCGTTTTTTTTAGCACAAAATCACCTCCTTGCTCAAAAGTAGCCATGCAAAGAAACAATGATCGGGAAAACTTGGTACTTAAAATATCACTTTGTAGCAGGGGCGGACTGGGACTACAAATCAGCCCGGGACTCTCGACCGGCCCACTTCGGTACCGCAAGGAAATTGTCGACGGGGGGGTGCTAGTGACTTATCCGACCGGCCCACTTCAGTACCGGCCCATCGGGATTCGTCCCGAACGTCCCGATGGCCAGTCTGCCCCTGCTTTGTAGATTAAACATTTAATTTTTACTCGAAAGTTATCGTCAGCCAAACCTTTATTTTGATCACTAACTGTGGATTTGTCTGAGCATAATTTGTCTTATATAGAAATATATAATATCTTTCAATGTACAAACGGTTACATGTTTATTGTACTAGAATCATTGATACATTGTGAACCCTAGCCTTCACCTTAAATTCATGAAGGAGAAATGGGAACATATGGGGGAAGTATTTATTGAAAGCCAAAATCTTCGTTGTCAGGTGTTTTCTTTGCACAGATCCTGTTCACACACCCAAACCACAACATCCACTCTCTCTCCGTCTTTCTCTCTCTCCTTTATACAAGGACAAGGTCACACTCTGCTCCACCCTTTACAGTAGTATAGGAACATGACACTCCACACACACACATAAACACACACACAGGTACGCACACAAGGTTCAGTTACCTCTCCTTCTATAAAAGCCTCGTGGGAAGAATGACATCATCCCCTCTCTTTCTCCGCAGCTGTCAATCAAAGCAGACAATGAGGTTGAAGGGTTAAATCTCTCCTGATGGAGCAGCCTGTACCACTGTGTTGAAAAGAGAGCATGTCTAAGTGCAATATCACATTACACACACTGACACTACTAACAGTTTTTACATAAAGTGTGTGTTTAAAATGTCTGAAGCCTCAGTGAGTGACTTGGAATGAGTGCAATGGGAGTCATTTTTCAGATAGCTGTTCAAAAATGTAATGAACATTATACTAAAACAGAAACTGTGTCATTTTCAGTGTTGGGAGGGTAAGGTATTTAGTCATAAAAATGCTAGTTACCTGTCAAAATCTAATCTGAGTTTCACAATATAAATGAAATGTAACCTGATTACTTTCCGTCACTTTTGGATAACCTCAATATCAACTGCAATGCAAATAAATCCAAGAGAAAAACATGTGTAAGTGTATTATGTAACCCTTAGATGCATAAGTTGACCCGGTGAGGTGGTTTTCTTGAAGTATCTTTGTAATTGCATTTTTTTATCATTTCATATTCCAGCTATTCCTCAAAAAACATGTTTTGGATATCATGCCATTCAAATTTTAAATTTAAATTTTAAGAAATTGTAGTTTTTGTATTTCTACCCCAAGCTTCCATAAGTGGGTCAAAAATGACCCGCATGCATTTTCTATGGGAACCTTTGATTCTTATCACCTGTTGCTGTCAGGAATACATTTACTGTAGCCCACACAGACGACATCACACGTGACTCCTCTCAGGAATATTATTTTACACAGCAAGATCTGATACCTGTCAGTATAATAATAATACATTATATTTTTATAGGGCTTTTCAAGGACTCAACTTCGCTTTACAATATAAGGGAAGGTTAGGGTGGGGGGTATAGGACTATCAAACTTGATCAACCGGCATGGATTGATGGGGGGTGGGCTATGAGTAGACAAGAGGAGAAGAGATGAGTTTTGAAAAGGGACTGGAATACTGCGAGGGTCTCAGAATAGCGGAGATCGTTGCATCAATATGTTCAAAACGTTTTTTTTCAAAATGTAAAAAAGAAATTCGAAAATTCTAAATAGTGAAAAATGTAATATAAAATATTTCTAGTGTGAACCAAAATATAATACTAAATATTATACAAGTGATTTTTCTTAACCAAAATGACAAAAAATGGCATAAAAACACATTATTATTTTTGACCCACTTATGGAAGAGTGTAGGGTCCAGTCACTCGTGCATCTAAGGGGTAAGACAATAGAGCAATGTGACCTTAGACAAGAAGAAACCACGATATTTAGCATCAAAATGTAATTAGATTTATAGGAAAACCAAAGCATATTCAGCGTATACACCAACAATGATACACATGAGCACATACTGCAGTTTAAAAAGCAGAAATAAAATCTGAGATACACTCAGTTAAGCTCACACACACAATTTTATGAACTTATAGCTTCACCTACTAAATCAAAAACAGAACAAATGAACCAAAGAAAGTGAAAACCATAAAGCAGATTCAGGCAGTAGAAGTATGGATTCACACTTAAAGTATTATCCTACAGAACAGAACAGCTTACAGAGAAAAAATAACATCTTATCCTTTCACAACAAACACTACATGCTCTTTTGACATCCTGCTTGTAATCCACCATTTTTAGAAATGTAACAGTTATCTGATTAGTATCCTGATTAATCCCGTTACACGTAGTCCGTTACTCTACAAGCCTGCTCATTTTGTAAGGAATCTTTACTCTACGTCTAAAACAATTCGGAGAGAAACTGTTTCTGGCATCTCTAAGCTGACGTGGGCTGATTTACAGTAAAAAAAATGTGTCTTGTCCTCAAAATGAACTCCCACTGAAGTCCTCCTCTACAAACTGAGTGAAAATAACTTCAAAGAGCAGAAACAATGTGCCGCACAGTAGAGGGATATTTATACAGTGTGTATTCATAGTAAATGTCCTTGAGGAAAGATCTCACTTGTAGTGAAAAGTTGAATACTTTAATGAGTGCTGTGCAGACAGGGACTTCCAGTGGAGATGAATGTGCTGCTTTCACTAATTAATGCAGATTTACCGCTTGTTTGGCTTGAAAGCTTTGACATCCATTTGAGTTGTTCAAAGGAATACAAACCATATAAACATTTCGGATCGATCTTTGCTATTATTTCATAGCTGGCCAGGAACAAATTCAAAATTGAAGACAGACAGAAGAATGGTTCAGTAAAACAAGTTCCCTGGTAGACTAATGAGAGGTTAAAGATATTCATTGCAACTGAGATATACCAATCAAGGAGGAAAATTGAACTTTATTGCTCGTTTTTTTAAAGAGCTGGCGATGGAAGTTCGGATAGGCATATTCGGATGTCCTGCCATTTTGTGTTGCCCACAAAAAAGTACAGCAGGGTTAAAATGTTAACACAAATCTTAACATAAAACATGCGACTGTGTTTGCAATCTGCTATAATTTATAGACATTTCATACAAAATTCATTCATTTAATCAAACTTTTGTACCTTTTGAGGTTCAAGTTAAATCTGTCTCTTCTATTACAAGTCAATATTTCTCTCAAAATATGAACCTATATGACGTTTGTATTATTGGACATGTCTTTTTGGACTTTACCCTGCATATGCCATTAGCCGCTTTCACACTAAGTACTTTGCCGTACTTAGTTCCCAGCACTTAGTACCCCCATGGAACTAAGAGCCGATTGCGTTCACACCGGAATAAGTTCCCTGAGGGAAGGTTACACAAATGAAGCCGCTGACGTCACTTCTTCTTCTTCTGCTTTGGGTTTACTGGCAGGCCGCAAACCACTTCACGGCGTACACTGCCACCCGAAGTCCCCGGCCGGAAGTCCCCGGAGTTGGGGCCTGGCTTCAGTCGAAGCTGCTGGGACTCCCAGCAGCTTCTACTGAAGCCTTCAGAGTAAATCGCCAGAACACCGACACCTCCTCATCTCCACCGCTCCCATGTTTTCTTTTGTGTTGCCATAAGTTATTCTCTCTCCGTTGGTGCGCGGGGCTAATGCTAATGCTAATAATGCTAATGCCAGAAAAACTTTTCTGAGTTTTACAGGGCGTGGTTTGCAATCCGCCCAGCCAATCAGAAATTGGAAGTTTTTTCTCCCCAGGAAAGTCCCATCTCTCTAGCAGGTACTGAAAAGGGGGTAAAAGTTCTCATGAACTAAGTTCTCTTTTTGGTGTGAACGCAAAATCCCAGGAACTATCGGAACTAAACGGGAAAAGTACTCTGGTGTGAAAGCGCCTATTGCTAATTTCAAAGTACCTCAGTCCTCCGTGTACTGCCTGTTCTCTAATCTGTTTTCTTGTTTGTTTATTTCAGGGATCTGAACGGGAACAACCTGACAGCGATCACCAAGGCAGACTTCTCTGGTCTCAAACACCTCAGAGTCCTGTAAGTTTACTCATTCACCTACATATACAGTTGTGTCTTTTACATGTCCATAGTATCAATAACATATTTAAATCAACGTCTTTTAATTCAAAATGTGCTTTTTACTTATCGTTTGGTTCGTAACACTCTTATATCTGTCAAATAAAGAGCTGTAAGCTTCTTTCACAGCTGTCAGGGTCTTTGTTGACGGTGCAGCAGCTTGTATGGATTCAGCAGATTCTTTCCCACAATTCTTTGCTAGTTTTATGTGTGAGGAATGTGGGAATCCTGGCTGTGGCGGCACCATCAGCAGCCAGAGGGAACAGAGCTCTGCAGTGACACCCGAGCCACCCAGAGGTGCTTGTCGGGTGTCAGTGTCAGTCAGATTTACTACAGGGAGGGGTTTATCTGTGACCTTTTCACCTGGAAACACAGTGCCCTGAGGGAGGGGCAGCAGTGATGGGAGGTTTCTGTGTTTACCTGGGTGTCAGGGAGGGATATTAAGGTGGAGAAAGGATGACATGCCGGGAAGTAATGACATCTCCTGAGGCTCAGAGCAGATTATCAGCATGCTGGGAGCCTCGGGTCGTTTCTGTCAGGAGGGGATTGAGTGTTACACCAGAGGTTTATAATGTGGAAGTCTGCAGAGGGCTTTTACCAAACATACAGATCCCAGCGGACACAGTGGGAGACACAATGAGTGATGGGGATTTGGGTTTCCAGTTTGATTAATAGGAGGGTAAAGATGGATTTTCAAGCAGAGTTTTAGTTTCATTTTATTTTTTTGCAGGGTGTCAAAAATCACCTTTTTTGTCTATGATATCACCCCAATAGAGCTAGATGCTGCTGTTTGCTTTTATGTGTTTTACTAAATGGCAAATTGATGCCCACGTTTTTCCATATTAAGTAGCATTTTGTCGAATCAAGAATTACATTTTTTTTATTTCTGCTAACAGGGTTGCACAACAATATACATGTTTACTACATAAAGGAAAGATGACTAAGCAGAAGCAGTAGTGCATTCCTGTAGGGATTTATTTGAAATGCATTAAGAGACAGGTTAACAGATGCAACCAAATACTGTAGATAATCTACCCGGCATTTTAAGATAAAAAATGTGAAATTTGGGAGAAACTATACATCTTTGACATTTGAGCTTTAAGCATCATGATTTAAGTCACGAGTCCACATCCTTTTTTCACACTTCACATGTGCCTACCTTCCTATATACACTGATGTCTGTTCATATATCCTGATGTTATACTTAGCTTAAAGTCTGAGGGATATTTGTATAGGAGAATTATGTAATGGCAAACTATTCAGCTATTATATATATTATTATAAAAGGAAAAAAGTTATAATTTGACAAACAGCTATTCCATGAAAAACACAATAATACATTAAGAATGAAGAAATATAATAAATAATAATAATAACTAACACATTGATTGTGATGTACTCCAAATTGCATTTATTCTCAATGTGTTTTAGTGTCATTTTAATGATGAAATGTTGTTTGTCATTGCAGTCATCTGATGGAGAACCAGATCAGCAACGTGGAGAGAGGAGCTTTTGATGAGCTGAAGGAGCTGGAGAGACTGTGAGAGAACACACACTCACATTCATGTGCATGCATGTACGATACATCTCCACTCAAATGACTTTAACATTACCTTATCGATTGTATTTTTGTTTTGTCCCTCCAGTCGCCTCAATAAGAACCATCTCAGCCAATTTCCAGAGCTGCTGTTTCAGAAGAACGAACTCCTCTCTCGACTGTAAGTGTCCAACATCTCTGCTTAACTCTCAACCTTTTCAAGTGGTGCAGTGATGACGTATTTCTGTAGACCGACCCGAAGTTAGCATCATAATGGCTCCCTCATGCTCACTCATTCCCGGGTTTAGGACTCATTCCTGCACCACTCTATACTCTTCCTTTCCTTCATCTGATTGTACCTCCTGCTGTATTTTTGTGACACACTCCGAATATATACCGTACATGCATTTGGCCAGATTTTGTTGATAGCTGGAATAACAATTATTTCTGTGCTTGGTGTTGAGGGGTCTGATCATATTCCCTCTGATCGAGGTGCTGCATGCTCTAATTTTAAATATGCTAAACATATTTGATTCTTACAGTTCAAACAAAAATAAATAATGCCATGGCTGATGGAGTAACAGGGTCCTAAATTAACTTCTTGGTTTATCTGCCAGTGGCTCAGTGTGTTGTGGTGAAGTAGGTCTATCTCAGCAACCTGCCAAAGGGCCGTTGACCTCATTTATTTTATTTGCCAACATGGATGGAGCGGGGGCTAGTTTTAGAGCACGGGAAGTAGATGTTTATTTCTAGTCAAACTGCAGCCAATTTAGTTTATTGGATTTAGGAGGTCTATGTGATGCCCCTTGAAGCCTGAACTGTGATTGCTCTACTCTGGTGAGGAATATTATGTGTATGTTTGTTGTGTTAGCAGATAGGTGGAGGGTATTTTTATAAATATATATTTTTAAAAAGCAAGCAGATGGGGAAGAAGACCATAATGCATTTTCTACATTTCTTTACTTTATATTTTTCAACCACTTCAAGGTTCAAGGTTCAAGGTTCAAGGTTCTTTATTGTCAATCTGACATAGCTACAGAGTAATTATGTAGTTGAAAATCTTATGTCACAGGCTTCTCCAACAATGCAACATAATAACATAATAACAATAAGAGCTTTTGTTTTGTGTGTACATTTAAAGGTGGGGTAGGTAAGTTTGAGAAACCGGCTCGAGATACACTTTTTGTTATATTCCATGGAATGCTCTTAACATCCCGATAGCAATGAATATCTGAAGTGCTTTGACAAAAAATCCATAAATAAATATCATCTGTGGAAGCCGTGGCGCTGTAAAAAGCACGACCAATCATCTGAGCCGGCCCGGCTAAAATAACTGGATGGCCTACCTGCCTGTCAGCCTTCCATCTGTGCACAAACTTATCTCGTGCCCTCATTGTTCATGTGCGCGTTCGTGTGTGTTGGAGGAGGGGCTCTGTAAGGAAGTGGCAGATTTTCTCCGGCTGTGTATTTTCAAATTCTAGCGATCTCGAGCTGGTTTCTCAAACTTACCTACCCCACCTTTAATGAACACTTTAGACAATTAATGCTTCAAGTGTAAATATGCCGGATTTTAGCTTTGAGCTAATTTCCATCCGTAGTCCCGTCACATACAACATATAAGAACATGACATTTGTAAACATAGCAAAAAATAAATACTTGATATGCAAAAGAGCAAGAGCAGCACACACAAGCATTTACCACATGGCAGTACAATGTAGCAGCAACGACATATAAAGGGCAAGAGGAGATACCCCTGTGTTAAAGTGCATTTAGCGGTGATTGCACGTCTGTTTGTTTCTCAACCATTCTTTGAGTTGACCTTTAAAACTATTGAGAGCGGGACAATCCCGTATCTCAGTTGGGAGGCTGTTCCACAAAGAGCTGCCTTTAATGGAGAGGACATTTTGTCATGCAAGATTAAAGCTACAGTGTAGTAAAGGATATGAATAGTTATTAGATTCAATAAAAGGCAGCAGTTTTCCTGGAGTTTGTTCCAGATATTTCGAGCATAAACACCAAACGCAGCTTCTCCATGTTTAGTTTTGACTTTGGGGACGTAGTGTAGCAGAAGATCAGAAATGATACCAAATGATTTTTCTAAAACGGTACATTCAATCTGAATTTTAAGAGAACCAAAACCCGATAAACTCACAATAATCTTACACCTTACAGTTCATACACACTATATACCCTGGCGTTATGCTAAGGTAGATTTAAACTGCATATTAGCTCATATATTTATATATTTTAACTACTGAAATGTGTCCTTTTAAAGTAATAAAGCATCTCATGTACAGAAGAGACAGTTTGTGCTGCTTTAGGCTGCATGCTTGCCAGTTTCCAGATCAAAAATTGACCCATTTCTCTCACCTAGAAAACTCTTCTCATAGTCTCCCTTCGGACAGCAGAGGCACCGCAAATACTTCCCACAATCCCACAGGAGCGGGAGGCGCAGCTAAACACTTTAATTTGACAACTAAACACACACACACACAAAGAGCTTTTTTTTCTTGTTTAATAACTGCAAGTTTGGAAGCAGTTGGTTACTATGCGGCTGAACGTGCCTCACACACACACACACACACACACACACACACACACACACACACACACACAGACGCTGCTCACACACATGCTGCTCACACACACGCTGCTCTGAAGTCTTTGTTGTAAGTGTGTGTTTGTAGTGTAGCACGGGGAATGTATCTGCTACTGCCTGGAGACGCCGGGATACACACAGACACACACGGCTGCAGAGAGGGAAAGAAAAGCAAACACTCTTTAATTAACTTTTCTCAATGATTGATTCATTTATGACACTGATGTATTTTTGGACCTGTGTGTGTGTTTGTAAGTGTTTTCATTTAAGTGGTTGACAGAAAAATGTGCAGTTACAAAGACACACTCTTGCTTTTCCTCAAAGGGAGTGAAGTGGATAACAGCCATGGAAAATACAACTAATTACAGAAGGAAGGGGCGGATGAACAAGTGGAGGTGTTTGTATGAGATAGAGAGATAAAGACAAGGTCTGAGAGCGATGTGTGTGTGTGTGTGTGTGTGTGTGTGTGTGTGTGTGTGTGTGTGTGTGTGTGTGTGTGTGTGTGTGTGTGTGTGTGTGTGTGTGTGTGTGTGTGTGTGTGTGTGTGTGTGTGTGTGTGTGTGTGTGTGTGTGTGTGTGTGTGTGCGTGCGTGCGTGCGTGTGTGTGTCTGTCCTGATTATTTGCTGTTTGCCTTTTTGGCAATTTCACACTCTGGCTCCCATCAGGGAATGTCGAGATGGACTTGGCATGTTCGATCAATCAGCACGCACGCACACACACACACACACACACACACACACACACACACACACACACACACACACACACACACACACACACACATATAATGCAGAGCCATTAGCACTTCCGCCACCAGGAGAGATTTCTTCTCCTCCCGCTGTGCTGATGGACTCTATAAAGCCTGGTGTGCCTCGGAAACACACGCACACACACACACGCACGCACACACACACACACGCACACACACATACAGCAGAGCCATTAGCACTTCCTCCACCAGGAGTGATTTCTTCTCCTCCCGCTGCGCTGATGGACTCTATAAAGCCTGGTGTGCCTCGGAAACACACACACACTCTCACACTCTCACACACACACACACACACACACACACACACACACACACACACACACACACACACATACACACACACACACACACACACACACACACACACACACACACACACACACACACTTCAGTTTACATTCTTCGCCCTACATATCAATTTCTCGCCTTTAATCAAATCTATCTTTCTTGTGTTAGCCTTTGATAGTCAAGTGTATTCATAGAATTGTATTTCTTGGGAGTTCAGACTTTTAATCATATTTTATGTACTCACACATCTAACAATCATATATTGGTTTCTGCATGTGAGTGACTGCAACGGTTCACTGTAAATGTCCTCTACTGCACATATTTACAATGGTCCTTGTGAATCACTATATGGCAAAGGTCATAGCCATTTACTATTAAAGGGGGCTATGCACCGCTGTATTTAAATATCCTATATCATGTTGAATTTCTTCATACAGTCATAAGTCAGGTTTAACAGTTTAATCAACTACTGCGGGTCGCTTGTTTGATTGATTTATTTACTCATTGGCGAATTGATGCTTCCCTTGTTCAATAGTTAGCTGAATTTCAGATCATACATTTATCGTGATTTTGCATCAGAGGGTTGCTCAACGAAATGCAGTTTCATTTACAGAAGGAAAACATGACAAACACACTAGTGCATTCCTGTAATGACTTTCCTTAATTTGCATCATGTTGTAAATACAGGCAACACACACTCACTTTTTTTACTGTCAGCTTTTCAATTTTCCATCCCTCTTTGCCTCAACTCCTTCTCTCCCTCTCTTTGTGTGAAGGGTTCTCTCCACACCCTGTAACAGCCCTTTGTGTGTTTGATGATACCCAGAGGCTGCCTGGATGTGTGAAGTACCAGTGTGCCCCCTCCCTTTAGCCCAGGGGAACACAAGAATTATGGGAGTGTAGTTTTAATGTCTCGCTCACACACACTCACCTTGACCTGGAGGTGAACTGTCTGCTCAGCTAGTGAACACTGCGCTAATGGGATTTACTCCTTCAGACACACAGTTTGTTGGACTAGTGCTATTACTGTACCTGTCAGTTTCATTTTTTAAGGAGAAATATTGTTAATATATCAAATAAAAGTAAAGTAAAAAATGCTGTGCCCCATGCAAAGCAGTGATCGGAAGTATTGATGTTTAATCTGCACAAATCTGAATGTGATCCTGTTTGAAATGTTCTTAAGGTGCCATGTGGAATTTTTAACCTCTATTAGAGACTATGGAGCAATGTTTTTGTCTGCATGTGATGCAAAATGCACGAGCATGCGGGCAATGCTTTCGACAAGAAACGTGCCAGAAAAATATAAAATTGTGCAACGCAACTCTTTTGAACCTTCATTTACTGGCTAATAAAAGTTAGCAACTATCATAAGATTGCTTCCCTCCAGCCGATTTCATCACAAATGTGTTGATCACACGTAGCATCATCAGCAAGTTTACTGCATCTGATATACATTTGTCTACTTTGTCTGGGAAGACGAGATGCTCTTAAGGTCCTTACACACCAAGCCGATTTTCGGCGTC